ATAAGAATGTCAGTTCCACAGCTCCCTAATCTGCTGCTTATTCCAAATCCCTAGTCTCTCTTTTGGATATATATCTTCCAATGACTGCTTAACTATGTGAATACCTGATTATTATCTTCCAAAGCAACTACTCTATTCCCAACTTAAGAATGTTCTCAAGGCAAATCTTTAAAAATGTAGTATAAGCACTGATAACTGGGAAACATGGCCTGCAAGCATTCCAGTTGGAGAACAGCCTTTACCAAAGGTGTCGTGGACTTTGAAGAAGCACGAACTCAGGGCACAAAGGAAAAACGAGCTAAGAGGAAGGCACGTTTGGCAAACCCTTACCGTGATCAGCTCCCAGCTGGAAACCTATGTCCCCACTGTGACTGTGGAAGGACGTGTGGATCCAGAATTGGCCTCCACAGTCACTTACGGACTCACTGCTAAGACTGTGTTCATGGAAGACAATCTTACTCTGCTACGAGTGATCGCCAAAAAAGAAACAATTAACTTTGTGGTGAACTATGTAATAGTATATGCTTCAGTATATTTAATCTAGGGGAAAATATACCAGCTATAGAAGAAAACCCATAGATGAAAATGAATAAAAACTACGTTACCAAGAAAGAAAAAAATGAATGAAAACCCATATTCATACAGAGGCACTAAAAATGAACACCAGTATGACATGCTAGTGCCATTAACTGATGGGTTTGTTTTGCAGCATTCGGAAAGTTGCATAATATTAATTTATCTCCACAGTCTATTTGCAACTGCTAGATTGTGCTGCTAAACAGGATTATGAAGCCCAAAGGACACACTCATCTAACCATACCTCTTGTCAATTAGGACAAGAAAACTTAATTGGGAAAAGGTTAAAAGGTTTGACTATGCATGCCAGATATCATTCTGTGAGGGAAAGCCCTTCAGAAATGTGAGTGTTTTTATGAATTCTCTTCAGAGCCCCTTAGATCATTAGCATTAGTTGAATGTCACTGGCTTCTGTGTAATTATTCTCCAGAGGGCAAGGTCAGTTGGGGAATAAACAAATGCTGTCTGCTGTACGTACATTTATGTTACATTACATTTTAGAAGCCTTACTTCTAAAATAATATTTAGCCACTATCATCCTAGTTTGTTTAAAGATTGGTTTCAATTACTTTAAACAGTTTTAGGGGAAAACCAGTCATGCAACAGAGGACTATTCAGAAGTATATATATTTATGTATGTGTTAACATTTATTTTTAAAGGAAAGCGAGTGAGTGAACACACCATTTGTATATTTTTAATGCTTTGTTTGTTTGTTTAATTGAGAACTTGTTCCTCATAAAAAGAGGGGCTAATTGCCCTGGCTTCAACAAGTGCTCAGAAAAAGGAGCGCAAGAATCATCTGGTTCAAAATTTTGTCTCAGACTATGGAAGGCAAAAATAGCTCCCGAGGCGCTCATAAGGAGGGCATGATAGGGGGTCATGGATTGGCTGGATACAGAGGCTGGGAACCCCTAAGGGAACCCCCAGGGGAAGAAGGCTCGGAGCCAGAGGAGTGGTGGTGGGATGGATGGATGGTCAGAGGCAGAAGAAGGAGCAGGCTAGGAGGAGGAGGTGTCAGAAGCAGAAGAGGTAACAGGGTTTGGTGTGCCATTAAGTTAACAAAGGAAGTGGCTGTGTGCCAGAGGCCCAGTGGGTCTCTATGTTAGTTAGAAAGGCAAAAGCCAAAGTTGAGGTGTGTGAGAGCTAGAAGCTGGAAGCAGGCTGGGCAGCTGAGAGGCAGAGCCATGCCTGTTTTCGTCTGGAATCCAAGGCTTTGGCTATGGGAGAAGCAATACCCTCATGGGGTGTTAATGCTGTGAGCCCCTACACTGTAGGCTCAGGTTGTACGGTAGATATGTGTAAATAAACCATATATCATAAAGACACCACAGTCTCTGCTGTCCATTATTCCTAGGAAAGTGATCCCTGGAACCCGTGGAATCTTGTGCCATTTGGAGACTGGGGTGGCATGCAAGATAGATAGATAGATAGATAGATAGATAGATAGATCACACACCAATATTGTGGCTGGCTTTTCATTTTCTAGTACTGGCTTTTGCTTCTTGAATAGTGACATTCCAGGCAGGCCAGAAGGAATCCAGCCATATGGCAATGCTAAAATCCCCTGCATGCTTTGTTTTTATTGTTAATTAATTTAATATTCTTTCTGAACCCATATTCATAACTGAAATCTTTTTGCACATCAGAAAATCTTTTTTGTGCCTGACCTCGAAAACATTAAACAACTGTTGTTTTTTAACACAAAGGCCAACATATACAAAGACGAGCAGGCCAAAGTAGTGTTTCTTTTCTGTTACATAAGTGTAAAGGGGTCCAGAATCCAATCTTTTCAGAAAATTATGCTAATCATACCACCCAGAAAACAGGTCCTCTTGCTTTTGAGTGAGGTCAGCTTGTCACACGTTATTTGGACGAAACATTTGCTAATAGGCCATAGTTCACATGGAGCTCATTTATAAGAATGGACTTTTCAGTTCTCAGAATTTCATAGACCAAAGGTGTAGAGAGCATCTGTTTTGTGTGCAGGTTCAATACTCAGCATCTCGGGGGGGGGGCAGGAGATACCCCAGTTTAAAACCCTGAGCTAGATGGGCCAGTGGTCTGACTCTGTATAAGACATATTCCTATGCTGTGTGTATGTGGGGGGGGGGTTAATGTGAGGTGTGCAAGTGCAGAAATACTAATCTTTGTGGACATTTGATTGTATTTTGAACAGAGAAATCCGAAATGCTAGAAACCTACAATACATAGATCCCGAAGCCTTCATGAATCTCCCGTTGCTGAAATACCTGTAAGTACTGAAAACAAAAGCTTAGGGAATTGCTATTCTTGTAAGATTTGGGCGCTTCCTTAACCTCAGGGTTCTACCCGCCAACATTAGAGTTCAAAATAGGGATTTTTTTCATGCTTACAGCAGTGCCCCTGTTCTTATTCTATGGAGGCTTACTGGCAGGGCTTTTTTTCATCCAGAACTCAGTTCTGACTCCTCTCAGGTGGGAGCCATTGCCATTCTAAGAGAACAAGAGAGGCGATCATTGTGAGTTCTGGCACTTCTTTTTCTAGAAAAGTACCACTGCTTACTGGCATTTTGGAAAAATGATTTACAAATATACAGGTTGAGCCTAGGTGAAGTATTACACCTTCAGCTGAGGTCTGCTGCCCCATCTCAGCTCTCCTAGGGAAACAAGTCAGTCCCCCCACCGCCAGATGTTTTCAGAGCTCAAACTAACTCTGTCTCTCCCGGTCTGATGCACACTGCTAACTGATTACTCATTTTCACAAACACTGTAGATTACCACTTTTCTTATCTGGGCTGGGTGGGAGGAATCCTAGGCTGGATGTAAGCACATCAAAAAGGTGTTTCAGGAAAACACGCTGTAAAGTTTATTATGGGAAATCACATTGGCGAAAGGCAGGACTCCACAGCGTCATCTGGTGTCACAGTGTTATAACGCATATAAAACGCTTTTTCTTTACTAATGTAGCTGAGTCCCTAGACTTCCTCTGCCATTCAAAGGGTCAGCTGTCAATAGCAATAAATGAATCTCCCTAACAGATGAGATATACATAGATGCTAGACTCAGGTAAATCTCCTGTCCAGCCAGTTTTGACCACTGCAGCCTAGTCTTGCAGAGATGTCACTCTTGCAATCAGGAATCACTGGCTTAGATGCTACCCTGGGAGGACAACTAGTCCAATCCTTTCTCCCACAGGTATATGAACCTAATTTATATCAGTGGAACTTAGTTTGGCCTAGATTGTACAGTCATTGTTTTAAAGGCATATCTGCACTAACTAACTATCTTAAATCTTTTGCAACCTTACAGTATACCACATGGAGCTATGCTGCTAAACAGAATATAAACTGTTTAAATAAAATAATAATAATAATAATAATAATAATAATAATAATAATAATAATAATATGGATCTCTTCGGGTACATAGGCACACCATTTAATTCTCCTTCTCTCTTTCTGCTTTATTTCAGTGTGATCATGAACACTGGACTCAGAGTTTTCCCTGACCTCACGAAGATCAACTCAGTGACAGCAGATATGAACTTTTTGCTGCAAGTATCAGAGTTTCCCTTCTCCTTTGAGCAGCAGCCAATGAAGTTTATCAGGGCAGAGAAAAGTTGTAGTCCATTGTCTGTTGTGCACTGCTAGACTTCGTGAAGGATAGAGGAGGAGAGAATCACAAGTGTTGTTTCCAGTGGCACCCTTTTTTATCTGTTGTAATTTCTTCTTCCAGCCAGAGTTCACCAGAGAGCCTCTCTGCGTGTTACGGGTGCTCTAATTTGTTGCATAAATAGTACTGAAGAGGCCGCCCTTTGAAAACTGTAGAAAATCATGATGAAACTTCAGGAGGAGATGGTCTTCTTGACTGTTAAAGCACTTTGTTCCTCAAAACAAATACCTTTAACTGGGTGAAGAAGACAATTTGGGGGGGGGGGGACCAGCAAAGCTGCTGAAGTGCTAGTATATTATTTTCTCCATTGTTTATCCTTGTTAGGATACTGCATCAGTTGAAATTTCCAGTTATCAAGGGCTGTCTCACATGCAGTACAGTGCAGTTGTCTAAATGTCTAAAGAAAAATTAAGCATGTATGTGTGTCTATATCTATAGCTATACAGTGGTACCTCAGGTTACATATGCTTCAGGTTACATACGCTTCAGGTTACATACGCTTCAGGTTACAGACTCCGCTAACCCAGAAATAGTGCTTCAGGTTAAGAACTTTGCTTCAGGATGAGAACAGAAATCGTGCTCCGGCGGTGCGGCGGCAGCAGGAGGCCCCCATTAGCTAAAGTGGTGCTTCAGGTTAAGAACAGTTTCAGGTTAAGAACGGACCTCCGGAACGAATTAAGTACTTAACCTGAGGTACCACTGTATCTATCTATATCTAGAATCACAGAGTTATATTAACATATAATTGTATTTTATTGCTATACTAAGCCTTTCCCCCTTTTTTTACAGTGAAATGGCTGATAATCCATACATGATTTCGGTGCCTGCAAACGCATTCCATGGGCTATGCAACGAATCCCTTAGCCTGTATGTTGATCAGGCACAAGTTGTTTTCTCTTCCTCCTTTTCATTTCAGTAGTTGTGAAGCAGTAGGTCACCCTTAATGAGTAATGCTAAATAAGAAAATAGTTGTCAGTTGATGGGCAGAGGAATCCTCAGGCGATGGGAGGGGGGGCTGTGTTTGGGAGAGGGGACACTAAGCCCTACTGAGCTTGCCCCTGCCAAGGCAGTAAGTAGGCAGTTTGGAATTTCACCCCGAGTTGTTTATTTCTTAAATGTTACCTCCCTTTGGTTTCAGTGGGAAGAAAAATAAATAGGCCAAGATATAATGGAATTTCATATAATGCCATCAAAATCAAAAATATATAGATATTCAGATGCTAGTTAGGGGAAAGTATACCTTGGGAGTGGGGAGCAATGGGAACAAGCATTCCAGCGCCATAAGACTAAAGTAAGTTAGGACACAGTGTGCATGCAAAAAGTAAAAAAGCCTAGTTACAGTTGCGTCACATCAGCTAATAATCTATTTTTTGTTTGTTTACAGAAAACTATACAACAATGGGTTCACAAAGGTTGACGCCCATGCCTTCAATGGAACAAAGCTAGATTCTGTGTAAGTAATCAATAATACTTACCAATTGCATCATGCTTTCAGGTATTTAAAGGTAGGTCAGTGCCATTATCCCCATTATTTCTGATGGGGGAAATGAAACTGAGCAAGTTTGGCTTGCCAAAGACCAGGTAGTGAGTTCATAGCAGATGTGAAATTCAAAACTGGTACATCACGATTTATTGCTCAGTCTCTTAAACACTTTACCACACCAAGTTCAATTAAGCACCTAATGACTTTAAAAAGTTTTCAGTTTGGGTGAAACAGCATCTCATAGGGCTTGTGCACATTTAAGATGGGTCTGGCTTTGAAGCCATGTTTTCTCCATTCAGATTTTACCTCATTTGTTCACTCTGAAGGCAGACAGATGCCAACAACAGGTTTACACACATGCCCAGTTGCAGCTGAAGTTGAAATTAAATTTCTTATTACCATCCATACTGGTAAATGCTCTCTTTTGTCTTTGTCTTCCAGTTTGTTTATTTGAATGTGTTAATTTTGCACAAACAGGGCATGTGTGCAGGAGTCTGCTAAGGAGTACTCACATCTTAAAAAATGAAAAATATCAGCAAGCGAATTGCACAATAGCAAACACCTGGGAATGAACTCCCAATTCAACAAAAGCTTGCATGCACTTAATTTATGTTCAGTCCTGAAACTACAGGCATTTCCCATTCTAAAACAGAAAGATGGTTGTGCAGTAATTTACAGTGAATTCAATAGGAAATAAATTAAACAAGGAGATTTGGAGAAATTGTTTTTCATTTTTCCAGATTGTTTGGATTTTTTTAATTGCAAATTTATTAGGGGAAAACACACAGCACAAAAAATGAAGAGGGAAAGAGAACAAAACAAATAAATTTGTCAGCTCAACATTGTGTGTTTAGAAACAAAAGGACTGCAGTTGTGCAGTTGAACAAACTGACAATGCCTGGAAGGCCACAGTTCCCTCATCCCACTATACGGCATTGCAAAAAAAAAAAAGAGGGGAAAAAGAGTTCTTTGTTCCCAAAAACACTTTCTCAAAAAGTCTTTAAACTATAAGGGCTGTTTAGAAAGTATGAGTTAAAAGCTACAAAATTTGATTGTTTCTTAATCAAATTACCATTGTCGAGTGAAATAAAAATAAAAATATAGATGCACATGAGGGTACCATGGTGGTGGTGATGATGAAAATAGCTCCCATTTCAAGCTTTTTCAGGGCCTTAGAAAATTCTCTGGCTGCAATGGAACTAAACCTCTTGGAACCTCCATTTCATACTATTTGAAACAAAACAGCCACACCTCATCAGAAAATCTGACTTTGTGCTCACCATGAGTAACTTGTGTTTTTGGAAAGGAACTCATGTTTTTACAAGCTGGTCATTTTCAGGCACCTGTAGAAACAAAGTATAAATCTCCTTTAACAGAATATTCAAGGCTAGCTTTAATCTAAGTGCTAACCTAAACACTCAGGCTAATTGTGCCATAGTCTTAGCAGATCATGCCAAATGAATAAGCAAAAAATCACTGCTTGCTGTGCAGTTGATTCTATTCTATTCTTTGTAGGTGTGGACACTTACATTTGCTTACTTCTTCATATGCACACACATACAAAACTGCGGCCAGTCAGTGTAGACAACATTAGACTAGATGGTCTGACTCATTATAAGGCAGCTTCCTGCATTCCTAACCCTTTGCAGTACCGAACTACATGACAAATGTCCCACCTGGTTTAGCCTACGTAACTTTTCCTGGTTTGTCACCTGAATTGGCTTGCAAGCATTTTTGTAGTATCATTTTCATCCCTACTGTGGACCATACTTTATTTTATTCTTTTTAAAAAGAGCTCCCATTTGGAGCAGTTGAACTGTATGGTGCTTTAAAATATAACATAAACGTCAACTATAAATTGGTGTTGTAAAATTGAGCCCCACAAGTATCTTTCTCTTACCTTAAAATAAACTCTTGTATCACAGACTGGTGTGTCATCATGAGTGACAACTGCCTGGAAAAGGAGACAATTCACATACGTTGGAATCTAAAATGACCGTACAGGATTACCCCCCCATCTTTCCTTTCAGAAATAATAAACTTCACTGGCACTTGATGCTCCTTAGCTTCAGTCAAACATATAAATGACAGTACTAATATAATTTTTTGGGGGGGTGGGTTTTTGTGGGGAGAGAGCAAGTGTTGCTTCTAGCCAAAAGCCACAAGGCATGCTTTTCAAGTTCTTTTTTTGGTGTCTCTTGATGTGCTAGAAATGTTTAAAAATATGGTAATGCTAGGTAATTCCAGCACGAATTCTGATTAGCTTCCTTGGCTCAGGAACTCGCAACTAAAACAAACTGCTTTAGCATTTTAGTAATGGGTTCTAAAATAATGAAGACATGCCCTGACAGCGAAATTTATTTTTGAAAGTGTAATTCTAGCAGCTTGGTTGGTTTGGTTGTTGCTTACACAAAGTGCTTTTAAAGTGAAGTGGAAAGAAGGAAGCTAAAGAGCTGAGGACTCTAAATTAGGTATAGCTTGGGGTGTAAGTGAGACACAGGTATGTGACTTGGACTTTTACACTGACAAACCAGTCTGAAAGCTTTCCCCATTCATCTGTTTGGCTGCATATATATTTAAAGCACGTCTCCCACCCCACATTCTGGGAACTGTAGCTTACCTTTATTGAGGCGCAATTCCCAGCACTCTTAACAAACTATAGTTCCTAGGATTGTTGGGGAAGGGGGGAATGTGTTTGAAATGTATAGCACCTATAGACAAATGCCTCTACTGAATATACATGCACTGTGCTCCTAAATTCATTGCGCCTCCCTCTCCTAAAAGAGATTTTGCCATCTGGTCCTCCTCTCCAGCCAGATGTTCATATATTACATACAGTTTTTTGTTATCACGGGAATGTTGCCTTAGCAAAAAGCTTTCTTCCTTTACCCCTGTTCCATTCTGCCATTGCTTCATAGTCTTAAACTGTGTTTCATTCTTGTTTGGAAGCCGAATTGGTCTGCACTCTGCTCTGGCTTCGACTTGTCTTCTCGTACAGCAAGAATTAGGAAAAATTCTGATGCTTTTTTGGTCTAGCCCAGGTCTGCTTTCGTTTTCGCACAGTGTTCCAGCTCCGGTCTAAGACAACTGACCAAGTTTCAGGCTTTCTCAAGGCTTGGATTTTCAACATCTGATCATTGGCTCCTACCTGAGAGAGGCTGGAATGCCGATTTTGGATGGCCCTGTTATTTTGACTCGTGCTACAGCAACCTGATGGGCGCCTGCTATCGTTTTATGCCCTTCCAGATAAGAAATAGGAGAAGAAAGATGGACTTGTTGCATTCCAAACACAACAGATTGAACATAGTTCCAGGTTCAGAAGGACCACTTGTGGAGCTCCAAAAAAGGAGCGGAGAGAAATTGCATTTCAATACTTGTGGATATGACCACAGAGCCACAAGTGTCTGGGGTTTTTTTTCGGTGAGGGGGGTTGGTCATTAGGTTATTGGTTTTGTGTAGCTTGATGGCCCAGATAGAGATTGCTGGAGAGACAGGCAGGGATTAATGGAGAGGTGGTTCAAGGATAAAGTTGTATGTGCCCCATGATTTGCCTTGTACCTCCTCCTAAGCTCTCCTGCTGCCTTACATAATTAATAAGCCTCATGAAGGTTCAACTGGCAGTATAGTTGGCTTCTGTAAATGGGATTGGAATGGGGCACCATCTTGTCCTTCATCCCAGTCCTCAAAATGCCTCGAGTCAGCTTTTTAAGGAAATTCAAAATATCTGAACAGCCACATCAAATAAATAGTTGACACAGAAACTAAGCTCTTTTTGGCCATTTTGAGCACTGATATGACCCCAGTGATGCCGGTCACCATTTACATATATCACTGAAGAAAAAGGTGTTGAGAAAAGAATAACAGAATGTTCTTTCTGGCATGGAGTTAGGCGGGGTTGGTTGACTGCCATCCATCTGTCTCGGGAGACAGTGGAGGAATGAGCCTTTGGGGATGAAGTCAAACTCTTGGAGGGTTGCAGAGCCTGCTGTGGCTGTAGATATGTTTTGTTGCAGATAGGGCAGATGAAGGCGTCCAGCTGTGCTGCTACAGGTGCACCATGTGTTGGCTTTTTGCAGTATGGTAGCGCTGCAGAGAGCTTGCTGGGGAGACCATGCATTAAAAAGGGACTCAAAAATAACTTAAACAAGGTTTTAATTACAAAAACAAAAACTCCATTTACACTAAATACATCAACAACAAAGCAGACCCAACCACCAACCCATCCCCCAGGGGTAATGGGAGAGCTAGGTGCTGCTCCTTATATACTACACCCAATTGCTGACACAGCTTAATCAATACAACTCAGCAGCACCTGCTATCTTCCACAGCTGTAAAGCTGGGTCTCGTTATTTTGCTCTGGCCCTTGCTCTGGCCCCTTAAAGACATACACATCGGGTGGAACAATGATGAACCTTTACATTTAAAGAAACCATTCAACACCATGGTGTTGCTTCTTTCTGCGCTCCTCTCAGTGGTCATTCTTCCTCTGGTCACTGCTGTGGATACACAACTGTGGATACACAACCTGTCTGTCTGTTTGTCTCCAGGCACTGTGGTTATCCGTAGGGGATTCCTGCACCGCAGGGTTGATGTTGCCAGCCTTCATGTCACCTTTGTAACGCAGAGGTGGTCTGCCAACAAAACCATTGTGAAAGATGTGGGCAGCTCCTAAGTAACAATGCTTCTCCAAAACCAATTCAGTTTGAACTTCTAACCCTCATATAAAAAGGCTTTTATCATAGAAGGCTTTTTTAAGCCAGTCAATCCCCGTAGAATAATAACATTAATAAATTCCTCGGATCAAAGAAACGAAACAAGGTCAGAGCCTTTTCAGAATATGTGTAAGATTTAGAAAGGCAGATAGACAGGATATTCTGTCTACCATTCAGATCTTTCCCACCCCCCACCCCCGATTTATTTTTGTACCTCCTTATGTGATGCTTGTGCTATAGGTAACTAGACAAAAGAGGCCAAGCTTGTGCGCACATGCACATATGCTTGCTTGCGCAGACAGAAGACTGTCTGCGCAGATCATCTTCCAAATCTTTACTCATAAATGTCCCTCCCTGCTGTAAATAGAAAGGCAAACTCCCCCCACAGGGAGCCCAGACAAGGGCCAAACTAGACAGTCCCTTAAACGTCTGTATGCCTTTTAGCATGTTTTGTCTTACTTTCTTTATTAATCACCTTTAACATTTATTAAAATAAGTTCTCTAGATGTTGTACCAACAAAAACATAACAATAAAATGAGTTAGCAAGAAAAATCCTTTTGGATACTATTAAAAGAAAAGGTTTAAGCAACTGAAATCCATTAACATCAGGAAATCCTACATTCTGGCTCTTAGATGTTGAAGTTGGCAGCTGTCATTGCAGCCCCTCCTTGCTAAGGCATTGTTATGAACGTGCCATTGGTTTGAAAGTCTGTGTTGCCTTATTGGTAGAACCAGATAGCTACGTTTCAGTTTTCCAACGAAGTCCTAAATATCAGAGAAAAAACTTGTAAAAACAACAACAACAGTTATTCATCTTCCATTGATTTTTAGTATTCAAGGCAGAAGAGTCTTCTCATACTTCATTCTAGCACACCAAACTTACCATCCATACGTCAGTTGTCTAATGTTTTTTGTTTAATGTTTTTAATTTGCAAGGGCTGTTTGTTCGTTTGTGTGTGTGTGTGTGTTTTTAAAAACCAGCACCATGTTTAATCTTTCTAAGGCGCTTACTATCTTCAGGCACACTCCAGTTTTTGTATTGTTGGAAATTTTAAAATCCATAAAGCCACAGAAAAAAGCAATGCCACTGCAACTTTATATATGAAGAACTTTGGGTGCTTCCAGATAGAGTCCAGATTTTCTTAACATCTTGTTGCCCTTGTCTACATTGACTCCCCCCCCCCCCAATTCTCATCTCTTTCCTTAATCACAATAAAAAGCACCCCCACCCCCGCCGTTCTACTAAAAATGCGAACATTTCTTGCACACTGTATACACATTATGATGCACGTTATTATATTATATGCAGTTTTCCTAAGCGCTCAATACAAGTGGAACTAATTTTTATGGTTGATCAGGGATCTCATAATCCTGTTCACTGGTGTCCATTGCCATGCCATTTCTACATATCAAAAAGAGAGCCACAAGTTTCTCACCTTGACTGACAGATTATACATTCAATATTGCTGGAGATTATACATTCAATTTATTTCTGCAGCAGTGGGAGGACTGGGGCATCTGGATGCTTTGCTTGCTCCCCTGGGTTGCTGTTTCTTGAGATAGCTCAGGTCACTGGTTCCTTGAATATTAGAATCAATGCCTATTGAAGACATTGCTCTTTTAATATGATTTTTCTAGTCTGAATATTTTCTGGAATTTTTTAAATAAGGTTTTTATTGTTTTAACACTTGTTTCCCACCCTGGGCTGCTTTGGGAGCAAGGGAAATGAGCATTCTGTCTGTATCAGAATTTTAGCTTGCTGGATGGAACGATCTCCCCTCCCCTCCTTCTGACCACTGTTCTGGGAGTTATCCTGACACACACACCCCAACCAATTTTGGGGGGCAAAGCGGGGTAGCTGCAGGTGAGGCTCCTTAGGGGAATCCTGTCCATAGGCTTCAGTGGATGTTCTGTTAGAAGCCCCTTGATGAAGAAAGTGGGCCTGATATTCAGCAACAGCTGACCTAGCTTCCCAGTCTGACTTTTTTACTATTCCCATACAATTAACTCTGTTAAAATATAAGCTATCAGCTAATTATTGGTGCTATCTTTCCCCCTTGCAGGTATCTGAATAAGAACAAATATCTGAGAGTTATTGATGAAGATGCTTTTTTGGGTGTGCAGAGCGGTCCAAGCCTACTGTGAGTAAGAGCAAGGAGAGATACCTTGAAATTATAGTATTGTTATTTAATGGTACTCTAAGCATCCTCTGATGGTTGTTTCACATAATGTGTCTTTTGTGTCAAGGGCACTTCACAGCCAAAGGAACAAGCACAGCAGATAGATAACTCTTGATTGTCAAAGATAACACTCAACAATCGCTTCTACAGCTCTGGATACTCTTGCGCAACAATCTATTCCCAGGTCCGCACTCAATGGAGCAGTTGCTGCACCAGGGGACTGCTTCTGCTCCACCAGTTTATGTACTTGCTCCAACGAGCTTCGCGCATGCAAGCAGAGGCTACGCCGGCATAAGAGTTTCTTCTGCTCATCCCTTTTCAATCCCCTCCTGGTTCTGGGAGACAGTAGTGCAGGAGAAGGTTCGGAAGTATCTGGCCCTTCACTTGCCTGACTTGCCTCTTTTCCTCTTATTCCAACTCATCCTGTGCTCCACCCTCCATCTTTGACACTTCCCCTGCCTACGATTCTTGCCTCCTGGCTGGTACAGTTCCCCACAAATCACTGGTCTCATCTCCCATGTCAGACTTCATCCCTCCTTCCCCTGGTGCGCACTCGTCAGCTTCCCAACAGTCCCTGACATTTCGCTATTGATGATAGTGCCAAACTCATGAGCCAGCCTGTCTGTTCTAATCTGAGGCTGTACTTTGTGCCCTACTGACACTGAAAGTTGATTTAGCTGGAATATGGTACAGAACATAGCCTTTTTGGTTTTGACCCTGCTTTGTATAACTGCTTGCCTCGAAGCCTGGTTATTTATTATTATTATTATGCATATACTGCCCTATACCCATAGATCTCGGCTGTTCACAACATAAAAGCACAATATAAAAAACACATAATAAAAACAAGAACAGAGGCTACCCGATCATCCACCTTTCCACAACACATCCCTCTGTTGGCTTTTTGATGCTCCGTTAAGACTTTTCTTTTCACCAAACTTTTGTTCTGATAGCGTTGTATTCAGGTAAGCTCTACCTGTAGTGTTTTATATCCCGCCCCTCAAAAAAGAGGGGCTTGACCCCTTACATGTATTCCCAGTGTTCACACTCAAATAATCAGTGGGTTTCCATCATCCCTAACCATTTGCCAACCTGAGTAGGGTTGATGGGAGATGGAGTCCAAAAAGCACACCCCTGTTACAGAAGATGTGAAACCAGTGTTTGCCTTGATAAGGGCAGACTTGCACACTTTGAGAGCTGCCTTCCAAACAGTTGTCCCAGAGGCTGTGTGTTAACGCAAGTTCATGGGAACACAGGAAGTTGCCTTTTACCAAGTCAGACTGGTATCCCACCAAGGTAAGTATTGTCCGGCTGGCAGTAGCTATCCAGGATTTCAAACAGGGGACATTCCCAGCCCTACCAGGAGGTGCTGGGAATTTAACCTGGGATCTCCTGCATGCAAAACAGTTGCTCTGCTAGTGACCTGTGGGCCTTACGCCACCCCTCTTTCTGTAGCTGAGGCAAGTGCCATTGATTACGTTGCTGTGTTTTTCGGTCACTGTGCTCCATCCTCAGAAATAAGCAAGAAACACAGCAGAAGGGACATAGTCAACAGTTCTCTTCCAGCCTCAGAGGAATGATTACGCAGTTGCTGCTCTTCGCATAATGAGATCTTGGCTAGGATTCAGAGGCCCAATTGGCATAATCTACCAACTGTGTCAGCCAGCACAGCTGCCTAAGTTCCAAACAAAAGAGCTCAAGTTCTGGACAAGTTGAGCAAAAACAAAATGAGGTTCATGATTTGATCACCTTTTGTAGCATGCACTGTTCCAAATTCAACCGAAATATTAACTCTTTGGGCACAAGGGAAACATTTCATCCAATGTTAAAAATAAACGGAGAGAGTTTGGAGTTAGCAATTTGCCAACTCCTGAGCCTTCCCTTCCCTGAGGAGGCTTCGCTTTCATCCTCAGGTTGGCTGTGAGAAATATGGAAAAACAAGGTATAATGAGTATTACAGACCTATTCTGACCCACGGACCCTTTCTGCTAATCAGATCATGACATATTTAATAGGATTAAAGGCATTTATTTTAAACAGTCTTACTCTATCTTTGCTGTATATCTTGCTGTGTTAAAATCACTTTACTGTCTATTTTGCTGTATTCAAACCTCCTGGTTTAAGATCAGACCTAAATCTGTCTCAGGTCAGCTCATGTTCCACAAAGCTGGGAAAACACAATCTAAGGCCTTAGCGGACAGGCTCTGTGATAAGCAATGATGTTGTGCAGTGTCACAAATTGTGTTTGTTTACCACTTGTTCTCCATGCTTCCATACTTTGGCTTGGCCTTTTGGACCCAAATCCAAATGGGGAGGAGAGAGGGTAGAATTTTGATCTCACTGCCCGCCACACTGCCATTTGCGCTCTCCCTTGCTATGGTGGCAAAGGAACAGGCCTCTTTTGCTGCCAAAATAATTTTTCCCCAGGAAACTGGACGGTGAGAGGACCCTGAGTCAACCACCAGGCATCTTGTTGGGTTCGCCAAGCCAAAAGTTAGCTGTAGACACTTTCCACTCAGTCGATTCCAATGGCCTCTCCTCTGTGTTCCCAGGCCTTGTGCCTATGCACTTCCCTCTGCTGCTAAGGATATGTCTGGGCCAGTTTTAGGGATTTGGGGAAGAAGGCACAGAGTGAGTTATTCTGACCCCCTGCTATTTTCACAAATCTGAGGTCTCAACTTTCAGTGGGAATACACCTTCCCCCATTTTAGTCCTGAGCATGTTTGCACAAGGACACCCCGTCTGGCTTAACATAAGAAGTGATCAGTGGTGGCTGTTAGAATTGGTAAGGTGGAAGGCAGGGAGACCAGCAGACTGAGGTTGGTGGGGCCATGCCCTATTTGCCCAAATGAACCAGCCTCCACTGGGAGAGATAGATGAAGTCTGCATTGCTCTTCAGTGTCATTCATAAACTGACCTACTGTACTTGTCTGAGGGACCAGCGCTCAATACAAGATGTGTTTGCCATGCAGCACTTTCCAGATCCAATCCCTGATCTGGAAAACAACTTAGGTAACAGAGTGGGAAAGTATAAGGCATTTTAACATGTTGGGATGTTATCTTCTTCATTGGCATTGATTAAATATGTGCTGCTTAGTGGTTAATTTACAGTTATGTGTTCATTATCTACGTCTTTTATGGCTTTTTTTTTTTTAAGGTCAGCGCAGTGCTGGTGCTGGCGATTGTTTTGCAGGTGGCTGGTGTTCCTAAAGCAGCTTTCAAAGCTGCGCACCATGCCGACTCTTTTCCAAAGCAGCAACATGTAATTGTTTTCAGGTGTTGTTGGCCGAAATAGGGAATGCTGGAATGAATTCGTTTCTAGCATCCAATACATTGAGATCATAGATGGGCATTTATGAAAATATATTCATACCAAAATGGTTTCTTGACAATCTGCTTTGTGTTACTAAGTTGCTTCAGCACCAACTAGATTGGCTTTTGCAAGGAAAACACAGAGTACCAAACTTCAAAATATGAAAGCTGGCAAAACTTTAAATGTGCAGTCCATTTGAAATCCTTTTTTTTCCATGCTTGGCATTGAGAACGAAAGCAAACAGCCGTTTGTGGTCATGGTTATTATACTTTATTATGTTTTCTTCATATAAGTGATAGGGGGCTGCAGCATTGGCAAAGCGTTCCTACCAGAGGGTTGGGGGACCTCTGACATTGGAGGGTCTGAGATAAGCTTAAGTCCTTCTTTGGGGCATCTCATGGGCATCTGACTGGTCACTGCGAGTCTAGGATGCTGGACTAGGTGGGCTTTAGGCCTGATCTAGCAGGCTCCTTTATGTACTTACCGTGTTTTTCCATGTATAAGGTGCACCCCATGTATAAGAGGACCCCTAGTTTTTTGAAGCCAAAATTAAGAAATCAATATTTTAAACATCAAACAGAACAACTTTGAGCTTTTTGGGGGGTGGGGAGGAGGTCACACGAGCTTTTTTGATGAAAGTTGGCCAAAGTTGTTGAACTTTGTTAGGGTTAAAGGTAAAGGTACCCCTGCCCGTACGGGCCAGTCTTGACAGACTCTAGGGTTGTGCGCTCATCTCACTCTAGAGGCCGGGAGCCAGCGCTGTCCGCAGACACTTCCGGGTCACGTGGCCAGCGTGACGAAGCTGCTCCGGCGAACCGGCACCAGAGCAGCACACGGAACGCCGTTTACCTTCCCGCTATAAAGCGGTACCTATTTATCTACTTGCACTTAAGGGTGCTTTCGAACTGCTAGGTGGGCAGGAGCTGGGACCGAACGACGGGAGCTCACCCCGACGCGGGGATTCGAACCGCCGACCATGCGATCGGCAAGTCCTAGGCGCTGAGGTTTTACCCACAGCACCACCCGCGTCCCCTTGTTAGGGTTAGGGTTGCCATATTTCAAGAGCCCAAGCCCACGCCTAGGCTGCCAGAGCCCAGACTCGGACCCGAGCCTGAGCCTGAACCCCTGTGCATTCACCATCTGTATTTAAGTCGACCCTCAATTTTTTACTTTAAAAAATTAGCAAAAAAACCATTGTCTTATACACAGAAAAATATAGTCTATCGCATGGGTAGGCAAACTAAGGCCCAGGGGCCGGATCTGGCCCAATCGCCTTCTAAATCCAGCCCGCGGACGGTCCAGGAGTCAGTGTGTTTTTACATGAGTAGAATGTGTCCTTTTATTTAAAATGCATCTCTGGGTTATTTGTGGGGCATAGGAATTCGTTCATATTTTTTTTCAAAATATAGTCCGGCCCCCCACAAGGTCTGAGGGACTGGCCCACTGCTGAAAAAGTATGCTGACCCCTGGTCTATCCAAAGTCCTGCCTGGCATCAGGAAACAGCGTAGCAAGGTGGGAGGAATGCAATTTCTGTCCTCATTTTTTCCCCTTTCTGGATTTTTTAATTTATGTATGTATGTATATTTCTCCACAACTAATGAGTTCCTGCAGCTGCTCAGAGTGGCTGGGGCAACCCAGTCAGATGGGCAGGGTACAATTGTTGTTGTTGTTGTTGTTGTTGTTGTTGTTGTAGCAGAAGCCCTGGAATGATCACCTTAGCATGAATTCCTCCCGCAGTATTAACCCTATACATGAATTTTTTGCAAAACCTTCAGGCTGAATCTTCAAAGAGGCATTCCCTCTTTCTCAAACACAATGTAAGCACTGCATCGTTGTAAGGTCTATTAATTTATTGTTATTTGATAAAAGTTCCTGAAATACACTAGATGCTATACAAAAGTAATACAAAGTTAAAATGAGCATTCCCTGCCCAAAGTCTGAGCTCACAATCTAAAACACACACACACACACACACACACACACACACACACAAATGGAATAAGTGAAGAAACTGCATTGGGTGCTTCCCAATGGGGACCTTATATCACAAAGGCTTAGATCCAAATTTTCTGTGTGTGCTTTTGGCAATATTAACACACATTTCTGTTTTTCCATCCACACCACTGGATGGAGTTTGATAGGGTGCAACATAAAAAAATAAACAGACAAACTAGGAAGTGCAAAAGAGTGCAGACATGTGTTTTACTTACTGCATGTGCATCAAAATGTCAGCAACAGTATATTACTGATATTTTATTTGGAGTGTTACATTTATACTATGTTGTAGTGGATTGTAGTTTTTATATATTTCGCTGCTTGTGTCTTCTAAGATTGCCCTAATAAAATGTTTACCTTTAAATATAGTATAATTCCCCCATGGATGGAGTTCTACCCCACTGGAGAAAGGTCAGAACCATTGCTCCCAACTCTCTGGGGTAGCTTTTATAGGGTGCAGGAACAGAAATGGGGACTCAACCAAAGTCACCTCCCTCATGATCTTTTATGGGATTGACTTCCTTCCATAAACAGGAGGGCATATTTGAATCCAAGTCAGACACTGTATGTAGCAAAATTGAGCATAGTATGTTAGGGAATAGTGAAAGGACAAAAACAAAATAATAAAAATTACATCACCAAGTTATGTAGGGCATCAGTTGCTTAAATAAGTAGATTCAATAACACAGTAGAAGAGTTCAGAGATTATTTAATAAGGCACATTGTTTTTATACTGGCTGAACTTCAGAATTTGTGAAAATTGTTACGGCCAAGGTTGTGCAGAAAAATAAAAATAATGTAAACCAGATGAAAACTCTGCGGCAAAAAAGGGGGAATTGAATTCTAATCTGTTTTATTAAACCTAAGTCTTTATAAATTTGATTTTGAGTTTGATGTTTGTTTCTCCTTAATTATATAGTCACATGTCATTGTTCTTTTTAAACTTACAATCAGTTTTATTTACTTTTACTTTCTTCACATCCAGAAATCCTGCTTGGGGTTTCTTGGTTTCCCCCCATAAAGATTATATTTTTGGGCTGTGATCCTTTACACACTTGTGAATAAGTCCCATTGAACTCACTGGGGCTTACTTCTGAGTAAACATGTATAGGATTTCACTGTCAATGTACTCTAAATCTATACAGATAAGAGAGAGAGAGAGAGAGAGAGAGAGAGAGAGAACATATTTTTGTTTACCAGTAAGAGCTCTAATTAAATCATCCATCAGTAATCGTGAATCGTGGTTCATATAATTCAAATGCTGTTACCTTCTAGAGCATTATGACTGCCAGAACTTACTATATCAAACAGATAATAACCAAATGAAACTTTGAGGGGGCACAACCAAGCGCCCCAACACAGGTGGGCAAGGAGTGAGTGCATATGCAGGGGCAGATCTACTATGAAATTAATGAAGTTTAAGTTTCATGGCCCCCAATCCAGGAGGAGCCCCAGAAGCAACTTTAGTTCACACATTGCTTGAAAATTTTGAGTCTCATAGACCCACTTTGAGTGGCATACCTCAAATTGATTAATTATTTGTTGCATACATTTCAACAATCCCAAAATTTGACAGTCAGTAGCACAGATGTATGAGACATATATAAGAGACATCACCTTGCCAACAAAGGTCCGTATAGTTAAAGCTATGGTTTTCCCAGTAGTGATGTATGGAAGTGAGAGCTGGACCATAAAGAAGGCTGATCACCGAAGAATTGATGCTTTTGAATTATGGTGCTGGAGGAGACTCTTGAGAGTCCCATGGACTGCAAGAAGATCAAATCTCTCCATTCTTCAGGAAATCAGCCCTGAGTGCTCACTGGAAGGACAGATCCTGAAGCTGAGGCTCCAATACTTTGGCCACCTCATGAGAAGAGAAGACTCCCTGGAAAAGACCCTGATGCTGGGAAAGATGGAGGGCACAAGGAGAAGGGGACGACAGAGGATGAGATGGTTGGATAGTGTTCTCGAAGCTACCAGCATGAGTTTTACCAAACTGCGGGAGGCAGTGGAAGACAGGAGTGCCTGGCGTGCTCTGGTCCATGGGGTCACAAAGAATCGGACACGACTAAACGACTAAACAACAACAACAACAACAAGCACAGATGTTATAAAGATATGCTGATCTGTCACGGAACAACCCCACTGAAGAAGATAACAGTGGCTACCCAGCTCTCATTGTGGGCTGCAAAGGGACTCCCACGACCGTTCAAACTTCAAGGCCCCCAAAATGTAGGTCCGCTATTGACCCAATGTTTCCAAAAGAAATGCCTGCATGCGCGGGGGGGGGTGTATATAATGAAAGCTAAAACGCTAGAAGTTGCACCCCCTCACATTCCACCACCATGAAATCATGGAACTGAAAAGGAATTTCTGAAGTCCCATATTGAATTCTTCTTGACACCTGGCATCCCTAGAGCCAGCCTTGCAGCCTTTGTAAAAGATACTTGAGAAAGCATCCTTTTTAATATTACATCACCTGGTTTGCTCATCTGATTAATCCTAGCAGGGTTATTCTTTTACTGGCTCTTGTCTGAAAGCACCTTAAGAAAAGTGACTTGAGAACTTTGGGTCCTTCTGAACCCTGAAGAATCTTGCAGTGGTATTAGTTAAGTAGAGTTCTGTTACAGAGCTTCCGACAGGCGCTCCACACTGGATTTAGCAGGATATTAATGTCGTATTATCTAGTAGCTTTTAGTATGTTGCCATAATAACATGGAGCATTTACTCCATAGCTGGCTCAAACACCAATATAAGTAACGCCTGTAGAGAGGAACTGTGCCATTCAGGTGAGTTACACAGTTGCTTCCCACACTGGCAAGTCCCCAAAAGTGATGGAGATGGCATGAGAAAGAACCTCATCATTTACCTGACAGAAGCCACATTCAGTTAAAGCACTGCGATACCACTTCAGACAGTCCATGGCTCCCCACAAGAATTCTTGGAGCTGTAGTTTCCCTCCCAGAGTGCAAGGCACATCTTAAGGCCAAGGCAGGCTGATATGGGAGCAGGTGGTTCTTTATCCAATATTATTTAGGGCTTTTAAGGTCCAAACTTTCACTTGCAACTGAAGCAGGAGACAAATGGGTAAGTAGTGAAGGTGGAACGAGATCAGAGTTACACATTCCCCTGTCACAGGCAGTCTTCTTTCCTTTCTTCTTTGCGATCAGTCGTAGCCGAGTAAGATTGTCTTCCATGAACACAGTCTTGGCAGTGAGTCCGTAAGTGATTGTGGAGGCCAATTCTGGATCCACACATTCTTCCACAGTGGGGACATAGGTTTCCAGGAGGGATTTGATCATGGTGAGGGTTTGCCAAATGTGCCTTCCTCTTAGCTCGCTCGGCCTGAAGCGAGATGAGCACCGCACCCCATTGTCGCCTTTGACTGGACTTAACCATCCAGGGGTCCTTTACCTTTGCCAGAGGCAGTATGCCTCTGCATACCAGTTGCTGGAAATCTCAGGTGAGGAGAGTGCCGTTGTGCCCAGGTCCTACATTCGAGCTTCCCATAGGTATCTGGTTGGCAACGTGGTGCTGTACCAAATGAGCCATTGGCCTGAACTAGTAGGTTCTTCTTAACTTTCGTACGGATGCCATAGACATTATCAGTCCTTCAGGTGTGACCTTCTCTGCACAGGGAATAAATATTACCTGTGCTTTGTGCTGTGGCTAGCATATTTCTGATCCTAAATCACTAATTAGCCTAGGTATCCAGAGGGCTACAGAAGCCCTGGTTTAACAAGCACTAATCATAGATGAAGGAAAAGCTTGAGAGCCATATGTTTTCATCATTCTTCACCCAAGTGCAATGAGGGGCGGACTTTGGAAATCTTTCGTAATATGGCACCCCTGTGCAAGGCCAAAATTTGGTGCCCCCAAATGGATCTTCTCAATTTTGTGCCCCTTTAACTCACCGCGCTGTGCAGGAGAACCGCCTGCACTGCCCTAAATCCAGGACTGGCGCAATATCCTTGTGAAGAATATGAAAGGACTGGAGGTAAATTGGGTCATGCCCTATGATATTACCCATTCTGTGAATGCTCAGAGATCCAAGACAAGAATGTAGTTTCTCTATAGTGGAGCTTTTAGAAACATCTCACAGCAACATCGCAAATAAGTGGTGCTAGACTGCTAACTTACTCAGAGATGTGACCTTTTTGTCTAAGTAACCTGTGGAGAAGTTGAGTCCAATTTCTTCTATGGACACTTGTGTGAAGTGCTGGCAAATTGGAATGACAAGCACCATTCTTGAACTGCATTTGTGGTCATTGCATTATTGGGAGTTGCATACATCTCTTGTGGTGGCTAATGGCTTGGCCTCTGTATTCCCCCACCCTTAGATGCTCTTTGTAAGTGATTTTACACCAAGTTGGTTATGGTACTTTAATGCACAATTTTTCAAGACATGTTTTTTCAAGACATACTTTAGTTCATTGGCAAGAAAACCTTTCAGCATTAAATCAAGAAGCACTTTGAAGGAAATTTTATTTTGGTATAATGTTCCTCAGACCACCCCAAAGGTTAGATCCCCACCCCCGTAACCAGGTCACAAAAGGGACATGGAACCTTCTTCTTTTTTCAGTGAGCACTCAACACGGTATACATTTGGACTACCTTTTAAGTCTATTGGTGAGCTATTGATTTTTAACTGTATATCTTTCCCCATGCAAATTGTGTGTGTCTTTATGGGTATTTCAAAAACAAATGAAATAAACTGGTTCATTAAAGCCAACAAACTAAGCCTGATGAGGGACGGTTGAAGGAGCTGGGTATGTTTAATCTGGGAAAGAGGAGTCTGAGAATAGATATGATAGCCCTCTTCAAATATCTAAAGGGTTCTTACGTGGAAGATGGCGCAAGCTCACTTCCTTCTGAAAATTCCCAGAGGGATTTTCCCAAATAAATGGCTTCAAGTTACAAGGAAGGAGATTCCAACTAAACATCCGGAATGACTTTCTGACAGTAAGAGCTGTTTGTCAGTGGAATGAACTTCCTTCATTGGAAGTTTTTAAGCAGAAGTTGGGTGGCTATCTGTCATGGATGCTTTAGTTGAGAGTCCTGCATTGCAGGGGATTGAACTAGAGGACACTTGGGATACCGTCCAACTCTGCAGTTCTATGATTCTATAAAACTGGAATTCTACTGAGCAAAGTGTTGAAAGTGCTTCATGTACAAGGCTGCAGAAAGAGAAAAGAGGGGATGAGTTAATAAATTACTGACGGTAAATTTGCTTTTTATGTAAACTGTATTACTTTTATTGTTGTTAGCCGCTCTGAGCCCGGCTTCGGCTGAGGAGGGCAGGATATAAATAAAATTTTATTATTATTTATTTATTATTATTATTATTATTATTATTATTATTATTATTATTTTATTAGAGAGTCCAGGTTTCAAAAAAAACAACTTTCAGTGAAAACTTTGACAAATATTTCTTCTCTATCCCCCCTCACCCACACCCAAGTAGCATTTTTCTAATTAGCACACTGAGGTAAGAGATCCAGTGGTCGTTTTTGTTGCTAGGAGAACATATAATGCTTACTTATACTAAGGTAAAGGTAAAGGACCTCTGGACAGTTAAGTCCAGTCAAAGGGGACTCTGGGGTTGCGGCGCTCATCTCGCTTTCAGGCCGAGGGAGCCGGCATTTGTCCACAGACAGCTTTCTGGATCATGCGACCAGCATGACTAAACCGCTTCTGGCGCAACGGGACACAGTGACAGAAGCCAGAGTGGAAGCCGTTTACCTTCCCACTGCAATGGTACCTATTTAACTACTTGCATTGGTATGCTTTCAAACTGCTAGGTTGACAGGAGCTGGGACAGAGCAATGGGAGTTCACCCCGTTGCAGGGATTCAAACCGCCAACCTTCTGATCAGCAAGCAGTGCCACCCATGTCCCCTTACTTATACTAAGCCCTTTTAGCTCAGTATTGTCTACACTAACTGGCAGCAGCTTTCCAGGATTTCAGACCAGAATTCCCAGCCCTACTTGGAGATGGCCGGGATTTGAACCTGGGACTTTCTGCATGCAAAGCAGATGCTCTTCCCTGAGCTATGACCTTTCCTCAAGAATGCTTAGCTTTCAAGGCTCAGGCAGACATCAGAGGGGAAATTATATTGGGTAGCAGCAGGGATACAGACTGTGATAATTACATTAAATTCACAAAGCAGTGTGAATTTGGCCTTCATAAGCTAACCAGCACCTGCAATGAGTTAAAATAAAACCCTTTCTGTTGACACAAGTCCCAAGTACAGGAGTTGAACTTAACGATGCTGCAATTCTGTAGCTTTAGCTTAGAGTCTCCTCTTGAAGGTCCTTTGTTCAAGAATGACCACTTTATGGTCAGCAACAGAGTGGGAAATTATCTTTCAGACTGGGGTCCTGAGGAAAATGCTTGACCAATGTGAGAAGCAGCTACTGACAGTTTGAATGAATGAAGGCCCCATCTGCACAATACATTTAAAAGTGTATCATCCCAAATTAAACCAGTCATGGCTTCCCCTCCAAGAATCTGGGAGACCATAGTTCTTTAAGAGTGCTAAGAGTTGCTGGGAGACTGTGGGTTAAACCACAGAGCCTAGGACTTGCCGATCAGAAGGTCGGCGGTTCGAATCCCCGCGATAGGGTGAGCTCCCGTTGCTTGGTCCCTGCTCCTGCCAACCTAGCGGTTTGAAAGCACATCAAAGTGCAAGTAGATAAATAGGTACCACTCTGGCAGGAAGGTAAACGGCGTTTCTGTGCACTGTTCTGGTTCGCCAGAAGCGGTTTAGTCATGCTGGCCACATGACCCGGAAGCTGTATGCAGGCTCCCTTGGCCAATAAAGCGAGATGAGCGCCGCAACCCCAGAGTCGGCCACGACTGGACCTAATGGTCAGGGGTCCCTTTACCTTATATTTCCCAGAGTAGTTTCACAGTCAAACCCTCTTCCCTGGAAACTCTGGGAATTGTAGCTCTCCAGGGAGAGAAGGGGTCTTCTGCTAACTCTCAGCACCTTTAACAAGCAATAGTTCCCAGGATGTCTATGAGGAAGCCATGCCTAAAGTTATTTGATGCTGCTTTAAATATCTAGTGTAGATGGAGCCAGAGAGAGAGGTGACATTGGGGGGCAGTCATTAGGAGTTTTGCAGCACATTGTGATCAATATGTTGATGGTGTTATAAGAATTCTAAGGTCTCAAATATAAATTAAATGTTCATAAGTGTACAAGGTAAACACATACATAAGTATACAAACCATGTGTCTGAAATAGTACAGGAGAGCAATCCTGAAGCCATTTTGACTCTCTCAAATTCTCCTCAGATATTTCTCTGCAAGGAGAGAGGAAATGGGAAAGCCTCCCCATTGTCTTCTTTGCTTACAAATCCTGTCTTAAGGGCTTATTTGTGTATGAATAGGGTGAGCCTGTGACCTGGATTCAGGAACTAAAGTATTAACCATCACAAGAATGGCCAGGCTGCCCAGGTAATGCAATCAGTGACCATTATCAGGTATCCTGGCAGACAGGCTTTCTGCTGTAGACCACCTCCTGTGATGTATGTATGATGTTTTAGTGGGGTGGTCTTGGGCTGCAGGGTGGGCAGTTTCAAAAGTCTATATAATGTGCACCATTGTTCAGGGTTCTCCTCCCTCCTGCACGTGGTGAGTGGGGACCCTGTTGCAACAGTTTGATAAAAATCAGGCTTACTAGCCGCTTTGCTTCTCAGTATACCCTGGTTGGCCTCTGTTACTTTCTCCTACCAATAGGAAACCCACTTAAGGACTCTATATGGGCTCCTGGATACCCCATAAGGGAAAAGGAGCAGTTTTTTCTTAAAACGGTTGCACATAAATCTGTTTGTCTATAACATCTGAATCGGGAGAGGCTGTCCAAGCCCTGGATGAGGGCCTGAATGCAGTGGCGGACAGGACGAGGGCCAATAAACTGAGTCTGAATGGTGGGAAGATGGAGGTTTTATGGGTAGGCGGTGGACCCCGTCCGGAAAATAGAACAATTGCTTGTTTTGGATGGAGTTGCATTCCCACTCAAAGATCCGGTACATAGATCAGGTACATAGATCTGTGTTTCATTTTGACTGTGGTTTTTTCTTTTTCTTTTTCTTTTTTTAATAAATATTTATTAAAGTTTTCACAATATTACATAATGAAAAAGAAAAAAGAAAAAAAGACAAAAAGACAAAATAAAAAACAGTTAAAAACAATTCCATCTTTTTGTCACTTATCTTTCATTTGCTTGTTTCCCGGACCTCCTCATACCTCCCTTTTTTGTATTCCAGTTCAATTTATTAGTTCAGCAATTCCTTTCCCTCCTTATTTTATCCTGATCCTTAATCTTAATATATTATAGCATTAAATTTTTACCTGTTAAAATTGACTGTGGTTTTTTCTGCCATCCATGAGTTATGAAGCACTTAAAGAAAATATGATCTAATCTATTACCCCTCATTTTTCTCTATGCATATCCTCAGCGATGTCTCCCAGACAGGTATCACCACTCTTCCAGCAAGAGGACTGGAAAACCTTAAAGAACTGATGGCTAAAAATACCTGGGCCCTAAAGAAATTCCCCCCTATACAGACTTTTCCTTATCTTGCTAATGCTGAGCTGTCATACCAAAGTCACTGCTGTGCTTTCAAGAACTGGAAGAAAGCCAAGGGGTAAGTCTTAACAATTTAAATTAAATTATAAAACCATCTGGGGCAACGGTGTCTCCTTTCTCATGAACATGCCCGGCCACTGAGATAATTTTCCAAGGTCCATCTTCAGCTGTGCCCCACTTTCATAAGGCAGGTGACTTCTAGAGAAAGGGCCTTTTCTGGGGTGGCACCCAAATTCTGGAATTCCTTCTCCAAGGACTCTGCACTCTGCTGATCATCATTTAGGTGCCAGGCCAAATCCATTCTATTCACCCTAGCTTTTAATTATTAATACTATTATTAATTAAATTTCTATACTGCCCTTCATCCAAAGATCACAGGGCAGTTTACAATATAAAAACACAAAAATTACATACTGTAATAACAAACAAAAACAATAACCCTCTCACACACAGTTTAAAAGGCCAAAGATCAGAGTTGTCCAAACTTTTTTCAAAGAGGGCCAGATTTGATGAAGTGAACATGTGTGAGGGCCGACCAAAGAGTTATTGAGCTTTTTTTTAGGATTGAAGATGCTGAGATTTTTTTAGGATTTTACCCCAGGACATATACTGCCACAGGGGCCGAATTAGGCCCCCGAAATGGACTTTGGACATGGACTTGGGAGAAGAGGAGTATTTTTACCTAGTGTCGAAAGATATGCAATGAAGGCACCAGGCGAGTCTCCCTGAGGAGAGACAATTCCACAAGTGGGGAGCCACCACAGAAAAACCATCAGTATTCCTTTATTGCTTTTGTTTTGTTTTGTTGGGTTTTATCCTGAATTCTGGCTCTATTTCAAAATTATTAGAACTAGGATTTCCACCCATGCATCCACCTACTGATTTGTAATGTCTAATATAAGCAGCCTTGTAGACTTCTCATTGTAGGAAGACACTGTGGACATTCCTTTTAATAAACGTAATTGAATAATAGTATAGCACCATGGCAGGAAAATTAGATAATACATAATAGCATGTTTAATGTGAAATGCTATTCAATTATGTATGTGTCATATTTAGAGAAGGTCTCAGGTAGTAGTTCCAAAATCCCTTGAATAATATATTTCTTATGCCTAGAATACAATGAATAGCTTCCCATCACCTCAGTTGCTGGGCTCAACATGAACTAAATACCTTAGTGACAATTCTTCTTCTCCTCTGTCCTTTTAGACTGCTGGAGTCACTGTTCTGCAACCATACTAATACTCACAACATCCGCAAGAGAAGATCTGCCACTGCCTTCAGGGGCCCCTTTTACCAAGACTACGCAGAAGATTATTCAGACCTCACCGAGGCTGTGTATGACGAGAACTCCAAATTCAGTAGAGATGTTCGTGGGAATTCTCATTACTTTGTCTTTCTTGAAGAGCACGACAACAAAGAGGTTGGGTTTGGCCAGGAGCTCAAGAACCCTCAAGAGGAGAGCATGCCAACATTTGACAGCCATTATGACTACATTATCTGTGCAGGCACAGACGACATCAGCTGCACGCCAGGACCTGACGAGTTCAACCCTTGCGAAGACATCATGGGCTACAAGTTTCTAAGGGTCGTGGTGTGGTTTGTGAACCTGCTAGCCATTGTGGGCAATGTTTTTGTTCTCTTCATTCTCCTCACCAGCCATTACAAGTTGACCGTCCCACGATTCCTGATGTGCAACTTGGCCTTTGCTGATTTCTGTATGGGATTATACCTTCTCCTGATTGCTTCGGTGGATCTTTACACTCGATCAGAATACTACAACCATGCTATCGACTGGCAGACTGGGCCCGGCTGCAACACAGCGGGCTTCTTCACTGTCTTTGCTAGTGAGTTGTCTGTCTTCACCTTGACCGCAATCACCCTGGAACGCTGGTATGCCATCACCTTTGCGATGCGCTTGGACAAGAAAATCCGTCTCTTGCATGCTTCTGTTATCATGTTGGGGGGCTGGCTGGTGTGTTTCCTTCTTGCCCTTCTACCACTGGTTGGAGTCAGCAGCTACGGCAAAGTCAGTATCTGCCTTCCCATGGATACCGAAACGCCCTTGGGTCAAGCCTACGTCGTCATTGTTTTGATGCTGAACATCATTGCTTTCATCGTCATTTGTGCCTGCTACATAAAGATCTATATCACTGTGCGGAATCCCCAGTACAAATCAGGAGACAAGGACACCATCATTGCCAAAAGGATGGCCGTGCTGATTTTTACTGACTTCTTATGTGTGGCACCAATCTCATTCTATGCTTTATCTGCTATTATGAACAAACCTCTAATAACAGTCAGCAACTCAAAAATCCTGCTGGTCCTGTTCTATCCACTGAACTCTTGTGCCAACCCGTTCCTGTATGCTATCTTTACCAAAGCTTTCCGAAGGGATGTCTTCATCTTGCTCAGCAAGTTTGGATTATGTGAGCACCAGGCTCAAGTCTACAGGGGTCAAACAGTCTCCCCCAAGAACAGCAGCGGCTCTTGCAGCCAGAAGGGCAACAGGGGGATGGGCCAGAATCTCACAAACCTTCCTCATGGCTCACCTGAAGACTACCATCCTGCAATACTGCTGCAGTCTCGGGGAACCCTTGCTTAATCTGGATCACCTAATCGTCAGATCAGTAATAGTAAATTTCTTAACCCTGCGCTACATTCGGTACCATTTACTGTCCAATTATGCAGCTGCTTGACTGCTGTAAAATAATAATAATTTATTTATATCTCATTCTTCGACCTAAAGTACCCAGAGTGGCATGCAACATTTTCATAAAAACCATATAATCAATAAGAATGCAAGTGCCATTTCTAACAGCAGGAACAAGTTAAAAGCAGCACTTAACACAAAATGCAAACCTAGCGGCAGCAAGAGCAAAATATGTTACACATCAAAACGAGAGACAATAACATTAGGGGTCACAGTAAAATTAGGGGTTAAAACCCCATTTAAATTAATACCGTTCATGCTTGGCAGACAATACACAGAAAGGGAACCCAGTGGATTTTGATTAGGAAGGCATTCCAGAGTGGACACACTCTCACAGAGAAGGGCTTGTCTCTTGTGCTCACTCCTAGGAACATAGGAAGCTGCCTTGTACTGAATCAGATTATTGGTCCATCTAGCCCATGGGTAGGCAAACTAAGGCCCGGGGGCTGGAACCCAATAGCCTTCTAAATCCGGCCCGCGGACGGTCCAGGAATCAGCATGTTTTTACATGAGTAGAATGTGTCCTTTTATTTAAAATGCAGCTCTGGGTTATTTGTGGGTCAAAGGGATTCGTTCATTTCCCCCCCTTCAAAATACAGTCCAGCCCCCCACAAGGTCTGAGGGACAGTGGACCGGCCCCCTGCTGAAAAAGTTTGCTGATCCCTGATCTAACCCAATATTCCCATCACTAACTGGCAGCATCTCTCCAGAGTGCAAGGCAGGGTTCCATACCAGGGACTGAACTAGAACTTTGTGCAAGCAAAGCATGTGCTCCAGCTCTGAGCTATATTCCTAAAATAGCACCAAGGTCCTTGAAGCTGATCTTCATTCCTAGACAAGCCCATAGGGGAGCAGGTAATCCTTAAACTAAGCCGGTCTTGAACCATTTATGTCTTCAAGGACTAAAACCAATGCTTTGAATTGAGCCTGGAGGGACATAGACAACCAACAGAGCTGCCCTAAGATAGGTGTTCTATTTGCTGGCCTGCAAGCACCAGAACAAAACATCTGGCTGCTACATTCTGGGACCGTTGAAGCTTCTGAACTGTCATCAAATGCAGCCCCACATAGAGTTCATTGTAATCCTAGGCTCTTCTGGCAGAAAGGGCACTTAAACTATCAAGCACCTGTAGCATAGATGACTGAAGCCAAATCCGCTTCTCCAGATAAGATTGCTTATCCAGTGAAGCTGACAAAAGGCACTGCAAGAAACTGCTTCCACCTGAGCATCCAGGGAAATCAATGAATCAACCAGTGCCCCCAAAGCTTGTTCCTTCAAGGGAAGTCCAGCCCCACCTAAGACAGGATGAACAACTTCACCTAGATCGCCAGTGTCCACAACAAATAGTTGCCTCCATCTTGTCTAGATTAAATTACATCCTTTTAACTCCTTCTGTACGCACTCATGAACTGCCCGGTTTATCACTTCTGCTGCTTCCCTGGAACTGGAAAATGGGGAATGAGCTGGATGTCATCTGCATACTGGTGGCAACTCAGAGGCCTGAGTCTTCAGATGACCTTACCCAGTAGTTTCATGTAAATATTAAAAAACACAGGAGACAAGATGGAGCCTTGTTGTTGCCCGCAGGCCAAAGCCCTGTTGGGATACTGCCAGGGAGACAAAGGCCATCATGCCCCCACGCCGTCTCCGGACGATCCATCGATCTCCCGTAGAAACGCAATATCAGTCAATTAGCGACACAAGCCTCAGAAACAGTATTCCACATTCCAAGGACTGGTGCATATCCTTTGCAGAGTTCGCACAACGAAAGATGCACTCAGGAGAGCATTCTTTACAACTTTATTCAGCGTTGGTCAAAACAAATGAAAAGACAAGACTGCCTGCCTGCGTGTCCAGGCACAGAGAGAGAAACAACAGCTATATACAAAACAGAAACATCCTGTGAACAGGAAATACGCAGGCTGTAACACAACAACCTGCTCCCTTCTTAAGGTGGAATGGAAATATCCTAACAAGCCCATCAGCTTAGAACAGCAGTCTCCCAGCATTACCTTTTGGGTTCAGCCTTCCAGGCAGGAATAAAACCACTGAGGAGAGCAGTATCACATAAGCCCATCCCAAACAGATGGCCCAGAAGAATCCCGTGATAGACAATACCAAAAGTGGCTGAGATATCCAGGAGAAACAGCAACATAGCACTCTTTGTGTCCATCTCCTTATGCAGCTCATCCACAAGTACAGCAGTGGGGAAATTCTGGGCCTGGCAGCCCAGATCTTTATCTGTCCCCACCCCTGTAGGTCAACTTTGACAGGTGGGTGGCACATTCCACCTGCCAATCACCTGGCAACATTACGATGTCAAAGGCTCAACAGATGGTTTGTCCTGCGCACCTGTCAAAGTCCGTTTCCCAAGCACCCGATATCTGGCTGGGTTTTTAGGCATGTGGGAGCCAAAGTAAAGGGGCTTTGCAAGCAGAGGCTAGCAGAGCTGCTTTCTGCAGGGATTGGCTGCACAATAGATTCCCCCACAGAGAACTCAGACACCCAGCCAATGCAGTTTTGTCTCTACCTGCCCCACGCTTGATGTCACATGTGATGCCCAGCATGGGGCAGGGACTGTGGACAGCATCATGGGTCAAATTTGGCATGCAGACTGAAGGATCCACACCCCTGCACTGTGGCTACCAAGTTGGATTTCATTCCAAAACAAGGTCTAAACCCAGACTGGAATGGATCCATATAATCTGTTTCTTTCAAAAAAACCCTGGAGCTGAGATACAATCATGTGCATTAATACCTTAGATTACGGTATGGAAAACTGCAGGTAGTGTGATCCTCATAAATATTGCCAGGCTCAAGAGTGGATTTCTTTAGTAAGGGTTCCACCACAGCCACTTTCATCACTACTCCCTCTCTGAGGAATGCACGTACTACACGGATTAAACATGATCCATGTGCTTATGGCCTTGCTGCACACTAAGGCATGGACATTGGTGTGTGTGTGTGTGTGTGTGTGTGTGTAGTCCTTTGCATCCAACAACTGCTTATGACTATGATGCAGACAGCTACAAGAACAGAAGCAAACTGCTCGCACAAACAGCCATCCCTTCACTCTTGCTGTGTGACCTAGATCACATTTCTGCTTTCTCACCCCTTCCTTCTGATCATCCATGTCACAGGGCTAAAGATTTTCTGGTAAATACAAAGTAGAACCTGCACAGGAAAGGCTACTTGCACATTTTAAAATCTGATGTAAGGTTTGAAACCTATTTAAAAACAAAATCAAATACGAAGATTTATAATGGAAATAGTCCAAACATGGAATGGAATATGCCTGTCAATTTATTTAAAGAATGCCATCGAGTTAAAATCAACCAATTAAGAAGTGTCAGGGCTTTCTGGCCTGCCTTACATTACTGATGAAGTTGTACAAGAATTAGCACCTAAACAGAGTCACCATGGGGACATAATGGGATGCTAATGCTCAGTACATGTGATGGTCCAAGCGAATGATGCTCTAGGAAGTAAGCATAGCTACATTGGAAGATTTCTTCAGCCTCCGGATAACATATACTCAGCATTTGCTAACATCCAATCAAAGGAGGCAACAGCTAGCACAAAAGACAGTCCTACACCAATCAGCCAAGCTCTAGTGGCAGCCCTGAAAACTCTTCAATAAAAGTTCCACCATCTTGAATTAGAGAGGTCACAGGCTGACGGTGACCTAAACTGCCTGTCCAGAGAAGCTGCCCAGTATAAAAAGGCTTTTCAGCATGACTCAAATGAGAAGGATGTAACTCACCAGGAAACGATGCAAGAAATGAAAATTGTAAGCATGCAGTTAGGGGCAGCACAGTCTTGTTACTGTTTGTTGGAGGAGCAACTTGATTACATGAGAAAAATGACAGTCAGTGCAGAGTTGGAAAAGAAACTGGTTCTAGAACAGCAGACCCAGATTCCAAAGGAAAAAGGCCAGAATCAGTGCAAAAAATGGACAAGCTTGAAATTCTAGAAAAAGAATGCTGGAGACTTACTAGCACTCAGAAGACTGCACAAGTAAGTAAATACAAGAAGATCAGTAGTTGGATTTCCTAATAACATTTAACATTTGCAAGACTGAAGTGAGGTGAAGCTCCAGTTGTGGATCTTGATGCTCTAGTGGCAAAGGGACATAGCAGCAGAAGTGAGTGCTGCTGTTACCTATACATGTATGCCTCTTGTCCCTGATGCCTTCTCCATATTCCTTAGCTCCACTGAAGACACTGTGTACTTTCATTCAAGGAGTGGCAAGTCTGTTCAGCCTGGCTCATCTCCATGCCAAGGCAAAAGTGTGGCGGGTCCTTATCCGAGAGATGTTGTTTGCGGATGATGCAACCTTCACAGCACACTTTGAGGAAGCTCTACAGAAATTCATCAACTGTTGGGCTTGACCATCAGCCTGACAAAGACCAACAGCCAGTGCTCCACGCATAATCACTGGTGACCACACGCTTGATGATTTTGTCTACCTGGGTTCCACCAAAACCAGCAACATCTGCACTGATGCTGAGCTGGACAAGTGTATTGGCAAGGCAGTCATGGCAATGGCTCACTTTCCAAAAAGGTATGGGAGAATGTGATGCTAACAACCAATACCAAGATGAAGGACTACCAGGCTTGCATGTTGAGCATGCTGTTTTATGGAAGTGAGCCGTGAGCAACTTAAGACCTCTCAGCCTTCCATACATGCTGTGTCAGGAAGATTTTGGGCATCACATGGCAGGACAGAATCTCAAACAAAGATGTGCTATTCAAGCTCACATTCCCAGCATGTTCTCACTTCTGCCTCAATAACATCTATTTTGGCTTGGTCATGTCCACAGAACAGAAGACGTCACAGTCCCCAAAGATGCACTCTATGGGGAGCTGGCTTCAGGCACCAGACCTGTTG